AGGAGCATGACGGAGGGGGCATGACAATGGAGGAACTCCAGCATACACTGAACGACGAATGCATCAAGGCGGGACTACCACCGGTTTACGATCTGCCACCAAGAACGGAGAAAACGGATCAAGAGCCCGAGGGCAAGAAACAGCCTAAATGGCGAATTTGCCAGAACTTCCACGAACTCAACGAACTACTCAAGGTGGTCCCAATGCCGCAGGGTGATATACGTGAGAAGCAGAGGCGATTATCGGGGCATAGGTACGTCTCAGTGTTTGACTTCGCATCAGGATTTTTCGCAGTGCAAATCGCGGAAGATGTACAGCCGTACATTGTGATGTTTGTACCGGGACAAGGCTACTACGCGTACATGCGCATGCCGTTCGGACTGACAGATGCCCCAACAGAATTCGCGCATATGGCGGCAACGAAGTTGTCAGACTTACTTGTCAAAAGGATAATGGAGCTATTCGTCGACGACAGTGGCTCGGCAGCCAACAGTTTCAACGAGATGATGGAAAAACTGAGGCTAATATTCACCAGGATACGCGAGGAGAAGTTGTCGCTATCAGCCGCCAAAACTAAACTGTTTATGACAGAGGCGATATTCGCGCGGGAGCGAGGGTAGGACCGAACGGAGTGTCGCCGGACCCAGCGAAACTTACGGCCATCGTGCGGTGGGAGAAGCCGGAGGATGCGGCCAACTTGAGCGCGTTCTTAGGACTAACTGGGTACTTCAGAGACCTAATCAAAAACTACGCTAAGTTGGAAAAACCGCTACGGGACTTATTGGCTAAAGTGAAGATACCGACAGGTGCCAGGAAACCAGTGTATCAAGCGGCAATGAAAGCCTTCAAACTCGCACCAGTCTGGACGGAACAACACACGAAGGCATTCATTAACCTGAAGGACACGCTATTGCGAGAGCCAGTCTTGCGAGCACCGAACTACGAGACGGTGGACGAACACCCGTTTATAGTCACAACGGATGGGAGTAAGGAGGCATTTGCGGGAATGCTATCACAGAGGATGGCAACAACGCTACCGGGTGGGAAGGAGGTGATAAGGCGACACCCGATAGCATTCGCATCAAAGAGGACCTCGTCATCTGAAGAGAGATATCAGCCACACCTTCTCGAATTCGCAGCGCTAAAATTTTCGCTAGATAAGTTCTCCGACATAATCTGGGGGCAACCAATCAAATTAGAAACGGATTGCCAGGCGTTGCGCGACATAATGGTCAACGAAAAGCTTAACGTCACTCACACGCGCTGGAGGGACGGCATCATGGGGTACAACATCGTTGGGGCGGAACACATCAAAGGGAAGAACAACGTCGTAGCCCGACGCGCTGTCAAGGGCGGACGAAGGAAAACCAAAAGGGAATGAGGACGGAAGCGAATGGACAGTGTCCCCGGACTGGGAAACGCGCTCCGGGATCATAAACGATGTCTTCACGGTGAGTGCTACAGATGGGAACTACCTGATAATGCCAGTACCAGAAGGGACGGCGGCGTTAAGGGAGCGATTCCGGAAGGAACCGGTATACCTGGAGGTAATCGACGCCATAATGGAGTTGGATCTCGGGACGAGCGAACGGGAGCGCAAGCGAGCAAGGCACCGCGCGTCGCAGTACTTCGTAGAGGAAGGAAAGCTTTGGAGGTTGGGTGGAGCAACGGGAGGCAGAGCAAGGCCAAAGCGGGAATGCATTACTAGGGAAGAGGCCAAGAGGGAGGCAGCGATGGCGCACGCAAAAGGGGGCCACTTCCATCGCGACCACATCAAAATCGTGCTCATGGATAAATTTCACAGCCCGAAGTTGGACGAATCGATTGTAGCCGCAATACGGGAATGTCCCGAATGCAAGAACTTTGGTCCAACCGCAATACACGCGCTGCTGAAGCCAATAGTCCGGCGGCACCCATTCGAACTCATTGCCGCGGATTACATGACACTCCCACTCAGCGCGGACGGATTCAAGACGACGGGCTTGTATATAGACGTGGCCTCTCAGCACGTATGGGGAGAGATCTACAAGGGGGCAGGAACAGGCGGAAACACGGTGGAAGTACTCGATAACCTGTTCAGGGACTACATGCCGGGCGGAGGCGTTGATGGTCGATAACGGGTCGCACTTCCGTTAACAAGGCAGTCAAGGCAACGTGCGATAAATGGGGGACACGATTCATACCAGTACCGAAGTACTCGCCTTGGGTCAACGGGTTAGTAGAGGGCACCAACAAACTACTTATCTTCGTGTTGGCCAGGCTATGCGCGCCGAAGTTGGGAGAGGACGGATGGAGGAACACAAGGGCAGAGGATCTGCCGGCGACATGGCCAAAGCATTTCAGGCAAGCGTTGCACATACTAAACCAAAGAATACTGCCGTCGATTAGATTCACCCCCAAGGAAATCCTGTTCGCGAGAGCGGTCAACACGGTCCCAACCCCCGAACTAGTGGCAACAACAAGGACCACGGAAGCGGAGATACACACCCACATGCAATACGCGGACCAGCAACGGCTGGATGCCTACGATAACAGGTTACAGCACGTGAATAAGCGCAAAGCGCTGTTCGACAAAGCAGTGATGAGGTCTAGAGCGGGAGAGGTAAATTTTGAGCCGGGTGACCTTGTGCAGGTGTACGACACAGCAAGAATGAAGACGCTGAGCGCGGACCGCAAGATCCAGGGACCGTGGAGCGACCCACACAGAATCAAAACACGAAGGGTCAATTCTTACGAGTTGGAGACGCTGGACGGCGTGGCGGCATCGGGACACTACAGCGCGAGAAGACTGCGGAGATTCACACCAAGGGAGGGAACGGAGCTGAAGACAGAACAACGCGAGTTCATGAAGAAACTAAGGAAGGAACAAGCGACACTAGGCTACAAACGAAACGAACAGGGTGGCGAAGGATAGAGAAGGCGAGATGGCCGAGCGTAAAAGGGTGGCGGACATAGAGGCCGAACTGAAACGCATAGAGGGAGCTCAGGCGTCGAGGACGCCGCCATTTTAAAAGGGGGCACCTGTGATGGGAGGCCGGCGTCGGGCCGTAGTCGGATCATGTCACGTAGAGTCACAGATCATCATTCCATTAGCTAGCTACCACACGCGGCTCGACCCAGCTACCACACCGACTGACGATGGTGTGGTGTGAAGCCTTTCAGCTCCTTTAAAACTCTGTAACAACTCGGTATATAGAAGCCCACGCCCGTTTGTCCGGTGTGCCAAGCGGGACAAACGGGCGTGCCAAGCCGACCAATGGGCGTGGCACGCCTGATGGACGGGCGTGGGCTTTGATCGTCAGCCAAACAAATCCCACGCCCACGCCCATCCACGCCCGTTGGCGCAGGCCCACGCCCATCGGGCACGCCCGAAAGTGACCTCTCTATAGGAGCAAACAATATTAGGGATAGTGGTACAGTACATCCGATTGGGTCCAAGCGAGGGGTATGGATTTCGGGAGCCTCCCAGGCTGTAGCAGGCCCGGGAGCATTTGCAGAAGCGTTTTTGTGGATGGCTCATGTCATTATCTCCCACCAGCTTGGCCGGGCTGGGAAAAGTGGTGTACGCGTGTCGATTCGGAAACAAGGGGATTCGCCGGGGCCCACCCAGTCATCGGGGGAAGGAATAGTAGATTATGTCGGGGGTGTCGGGATTAATGGCGGGATGACGGGTGCTTGGCAGCGCGTACTGGGTCAATCCAAAAAAACTACCGCCAGTTGGAGGCGGTGCACTTGCGCGTGCGGAGCTGGGTCAGCTCGTGCTATGATGCATCGTGAGCAGAGATATATAAGTTATGTGTGATGGCGCAAGAAACTAACTGTGGAGTCGGTGACTGAGACGCAGAGCCCCGACAGCTTTTCCTCGATGGCCGTCGAGGTCTGGCCAGCACTTGCCAAGGAAACTGCGTGGGACATCTGTAGCCCAGTCTGAAGTCGTTTATGAATGCCTGTTTCGGCTGTTAATGGTGGAGACTGACCATAAAGGCCCATGAAGCCGCCTCCATGTCTCGATCAAGGTCGCGGAGAGACGCCTGATTCTTGCGCAGGTGAATCAAGCTTCGAACGCGGCCTTGATCAGCGATGCGCTCGAGGCAGCGATGCAAGCGTTGGAGAACACTACAAATGAGACTTCGCACATGGGCGTGGCCAAACGGCGTGGGCCTGCGCCAACGGGCGTGCACGCCCGTGATGGCGTGGGCGTGGCGTGGGCGGGCGTGGGACACTTTCGGCGCCTTACTGGCACCGAGTGAGCTATTGCCATGGCTCAAATGCCTATTTAATAGGTTTCCATGGTCCGAATGCACGCTTCGACTGGGATTTACATCCATCAACCATGTTTGATCGTCGCCTTCCACAATGCCAAGACGTCTTGGCAAGCCATTCAACGCCTCTCCGCCACCTCCACGGCTTGTGCCAGCCTTGCATGAGTTACGGCGAGCATGGAACACCCACCATTTCTAGGGGCCCCGGTCAACCTTCCCATATCGGCGAGTCCGACGGCGACGGCCCGGAGCGTTAACCCGGGACCAGTCACGCCATGATCCGACGTTGAGCGCACGAACCGCAGAGCGCGAGCGCGGCCGTGGCTCACTCACTCGAGTTGGTCGTGCACTGCCGTCGTCCTCGGTGGACACCACTTGTTTGTACGTTAGTCTCGGCGCGCCGACCGGAGTGAAGGTGCTTCGCGGACCGGCCGGTGACCGGCAGTGTGGACGCGGCCTAAGTCAGCGTGAGTAGTGAGGATGGTCCGGGGATTCGGGGGACTCCAAAGGTCTAGGAATAAGGCATAAGAGTTGGGGACTTGGGGTTATATGCAAGCCCACGCCCGTTTGTCGGGCGTGCCAAGACGACAAACGGGCGTGCCAAGACGACCAATGGGCGTGGCACGCCTGATGGGCGGGCGTGGGCTTTGATCGTCAGCCAAATCCCACGCCCACGCCCATCCACGCCCGTTGGCGCAGGCCCACGCCCATCGGGCACGCCCGAAAGTGAGCTCTCCACTACAAATAAGTCGTTGTTAGGATCAACTAAAAAAAGTAAGCGTGATACTGACTCCTCGAAGCGCACGATATGTGCGATAACGGAATCCGAAAGCGGCGGCGGGCTCGGTCCGATGGAGCGATACATGGCATCGACCATCTCAGCGGCTTTGAACGCCAGCGCACGCGCCTGCAATCTACTTTCATTGGCGCGCTGGCTGAGTTGAGTGGTATGATGAGGCGAGTATACTTCTTTACTCACATCACTCAAATTCCACAGGCCAACAACGATTGCGAGGGAGCACTTGAGTGGTGGACAGCCCTCGACAGCGTCCTTCATTACCTCTAGAGAGGTATGAAAGTTGTCGATAGTTGCTGCCAGCGGGGATGACAGTTCGTCTAAAGAACGCGCCGACGCGCCAGCTGGCAGTCGACGGCGCCAGACCCTCATTGCGTTAGAGGAAGTCAGAGGAAAGGATGCCTCTACTTATACCGCTACTCCATCCATGAGGCGGTGGGCAGAGATCTGGTACAGGCTCCCATTCGTGGGTTGAGGCGCGATGTAGATGGCGTCCCGCTGCAAACAGCGTCAATCTCCGTCTCTGCACATTCGGGTTCAGCATCACCATCAAGAACTTGATCAAGAACTTGCCGACAAGTGCCACTGGCACGGTCGTGTGGGTACCCGCACTCAACGCGGCAATGAAGGCTGGGCATCGTCAGTCCGCTCAGAAGATAGCACGCAGAAAATAACGGAACGACATACCCTTCGCCGCTTCGTTCGTTGAACGGCAGATTGACAAACTCGGTCGATAGCTTGCGCCGTTTCGTGGCAATCCATAATACATAACCCGAAAATAGCTGACTTACAACAAGGAAGCGGATGGGGGAACCATGGACATTGGACAAGACTGTTGAGAGCAGCTTCTGCTGTTTTTGCATACAGATCGTCCTTGGGAAGCACTTGGATCCCACAGACCGTCAATACCATGATAGCTTTTGCCATCCTGGAAAATTGTTGGTGAGAATCATGATAGCAACCTTTGAAAACGACTCACTGGCGGATGTGCTCCAGGGGTTCACCTGGATCGCCGAGAAGATGGCGCAGGAGCCTGGCATGACACGCTGCGCCACGTGTAAGCTTTTCATTTAAGCCACGGAGTGCGGCCATACCGAGTTTCTCTCCTGCATCAACAATGAGCGGATGAGATAGGAGTTAGCAGCTATATCACACACTGTACTCGATGAATGCTAGGCAACTGTTAGCCGGTGGCCACAGACGGAAACATATCGCGCACCGAATGGATGAGTCGATGCCTCGAACCTATCGGAGTGGTCGATCGTTTCTCAAGAAGATCGATGTTGTCTTCGAGGGAAGAAAGAACGAAGACAGACATCCCAGTAACGTTCAAGTTGAGGTGGATGATATCGGCGCCTGCGGCGCGTTTGATATGAGAATAAGTTGTCTCCTCGGTAACATGCTCTCTGCGTTCCCGACTGAGCCGCCCAAACGCTTCCCATTCGAAGCTGGACGGCATATTGCCTAGGAGGAATGGTTTATGTGGCGCCAGATGCAAAGGAAGGAAGCCCCGCCTTCTCTGGCGGAGTAGCACACAGTAGTAGGCATTGGGCTGATCCCAGCCCTGGGCACGGGCACGGGCAAGGGTGCGGGTCCTGACATGGTTCGAGCCCACGAACGCGCACTCTGGCGGGAAGCGGTCATTCGTCACGGTCGGAAGAACGACCGAGTCGGAGGGAGGGCATACCGCCACAAATCGCGAGCGCATCAACGAGCGGTGTGGCGTGAGGGAAAGAAACTGTCGTTTGGGAGGAGGGAGATCGTGGCAAGAGAGGAGGAAGAGTATTTGACATTGGAGATGTAGTTCCTGTGGCCAATAAGACGTGCGTTATGCGCTTCATTGTACACAAGGGGAACATGTATGAGGACATGCGTGGCGCAAGCGACTACGCTTCGCAAGCTCTCGTCGGACGGCAGGTCGCGTATCGTTTGAGAGACCAGAGGGTCGATGAACATCGCCTTTTCGCAAGTCTTGTCAGGTTTTCGAACGAGTCTGCACCGAGAGAAAAGGTCAGTGAACGCGACAAGTGCCAGTGGAGATGGTCGTTGACGCACCATTTACCAGCTATTGCACATCGCGCCCCAGCTCAACGTGCCCTCTCTTCCGTGCCCTCTCTTCCCCTCCGTCACCCAGTATCACATTTGGTCCGCCAGCACCGACTTCCAACCTTGTCCTGTAAAACGTCGCGCCTGAGCAGCAGCGGCAGACCAGATGAATGGACACACGTGGCGACGTTCGCGCGTCCCAGCCAGAGACATGGGGCGTCAAGACGCCGTCGCAGGTGTCCCTATGTCGATTACAAGGCGGTCGAGCGAGCAGGGAGGAGCGATCTTGCGGCTCATCGTGGTGCGGAGTCAAGATCGGCGTGGTCACATGTCCTCGGGCCGATCACCGCTTCTCTTTTCTTCACCACGACGACCAGCATGCGACATACCTTTCTGTCACGCTGTGGCTTTACCGGCGCCGTTAGTGATAAGTTGCTTTGCTGCGTGAGGGCAGCAGAGCCACGCGACTCCGAGGCAAGGCTCATTACCGCGCACCCCCCTCCGCTAGCTATTCACCACTCTCGTCTTCTCCCGCCCCCCGCTGGAAGACATGCCCCGTTTGACTCCATGCCCCGTATGTTCCGGCTTGCTGCCTGCTCAGGCGTTGCTGACGCATTTTCGCAGCCCATTCTTGAAGACGGCTTGCCGCAAATGACAACTTGAAGAGTCGGAGGATATGGCTAGAGTCACAGAACCGGGAAGAAACTGTGTACAAGATGAAAAGCGGGGGAAAAGCGGTGTGTTACAGTACGCAAACCCTCGCCGACACAGTCTTACCTTCCAAACAGACATTACCTGCAAATGGCAACGGCGCCTTTTTTCATTCCCTCTGCAGCCGGCACTGGCGTCCTTCTTGCCTCTCGGACGCGCTCGCCTACGCCGTCCGTATCCGCGGGCTCACCGCCCGGCCTTTCGATTAGGTCGTCGCAAAGCAGCCTCCAGCCGACTCCTTTATGCCCCGCTCTGCTCTCCACCACCCACATCTCCCTTGAAGGTCACCACCAGCGACTACCACATGCCGGCGACACTCCCTCCCTCGCCTCCATCCCCATCCCCACCTCCCTCCATTCCCATCTCCCTTACCCGCACACGCCATCCTAACCGCCTTCTTGCCTCCTTCCCCAAATCGGCCAGGTCACGTGCCACGCCGGGCGTCCGGCCGGCGCCGACAGTCCTCCTCCATCCTCGACGAGCGCGACAGGTATCGCTCTGCCCAGCACATATCTTGTCCCAATCCGCGTCAACTTCTTTCCGCTTATATCTATAAGGCTTGGCCATCCGGGACAGTGGGCGGGAAGCCCGTCGTTGGCAGACATACTTCGGCGCGGCGCGGACGTTAGAAGACGGAGGGTGGCGTGCGCGCGTGCGGTGCAACCCTAGCGTATCGCGCAGGAAATTCAGGAGATTGAGGGTGTCCTGGTGGGTATTGGAAGAAGCTGCTGCAGCGAGGCGGCGGCGAGGCTTGCATGGTCGTCGTCGCCGGTCTTGTCCTTTCTACGACAGAGTCAAACGCCTGCACTCATTACTCTCCCTGACGACCGGTAGTACATGCCTGTGCTCTTTACGCACTTACTCTTCCTACTACTGCTTACCGAACTTTTGCTTTAGATCGCGTTCCGGATGCCTAAATATGTACGACACTTTATCTTTCCGAATCAAGAACAATTGAAATGGTTACAATCGACATATCGACAGCGCTTCAGCCTGCATATTCCTTCGCCTCGCCGACAGTACCTCGTCAGCATTTTGTAATCTCTGAGCCTCACAAGCAACATACTTTCCACCATGGCGCGTTCCCTCGTGCCCCCCGGGCTCGCGCAAGACAAATTTCGCCGCCCATCGACCTCTATTTTTGTCTTGATCATAAACTCATCAACGCGTTCTGCCCAAGCCTGTCAGGCGCTCAAGCGCCGGAACAGGCTGTGCGCCGCTGTGGGAAGCACTAACTTGGCTCTTTCTCCCACCACCGCGACTGAGATCTTATGTCTGTCGGAGGCAGCAACCGAGCTCACGGAGCATTGCAAGACACCGAGCGAGCTATTGCTGTTGCGTTCCCCAAATCTAAAGAGCCCGGCGCCGCAAGTTCCAGCAGCACCCTAACCGAAGACCAGTCCATGATTGGTTCGGTGGACCTCAGCAGCGCACGATACTTCATCTTCGGGACATGGACTACGGTCAGTCTCTACTGACTCTCCACCCTGTACCGGCACTGAGATACACCGTAGGAACACCTCCAAGCGAGCCGCCTCATCGGTAAATGGCGCTTCCCGGATGGCCCCGACTCCGCCGGCGGGATGCTGTACGTCTCGCCGGCGGACGCCCGGCACGGCGCCCGGCTGCAAAATCGGCTTGCACATGCGCTCGACGTCGGGAACGAGGTGTTGGCTATATTCCTGGACCGACAGTCACGAGAGCTCTACGGGTGTGCCAGGTGCGGTGGCTGCTTTTCCTCCCACGGCACCGACGAGGAAATGACGCTTGGATCTGACGCAAATCGGGCAGGATCACAGGTATCCATCCACACTTCTCTGTGGCTAGCGGGACTGTAACGGAGGCATGCAGCCATGGCCCAGGGCTCACCAGGGCGGCAACACAGATAGAAAAAGCATCCGCCGGCGGGCCTTCTCATGCGCCGGAGCTGCGCTGCTACACTGAACCATTTGATTCGGAGCAAAAGGCAAAGACACGGTGCGCACTTACAAGCCGTACGACATTCATGTCAATATCTGAGCACACACAGAGAGTTGATGAGCTTCGAGCCTCGGATAGTGCCGCGCTCCGCAAGCCCCACCGACCGCGTCGAAGAGCCCGCATGGTCGCCAATGACCATCATTCTGGACTTGGCGTGGATCACGACGCGGACTATGCCCGTGCGCAAAGTGCAGCAACTACACAGCCTGAGGTTCTGGGAGCACGACTCGGACCCGGGCCTGCACCTCCGGAAAGCGTACGACGGGCAACAGCTCCCGCCCGCTATTGGCGCGGCAGTGCTGGATGCATGGAGTCGCTATCGCGCCGCTGGGGAGCCAGACGAGGTGGAGGCTGTCGGCGTGCAAATGCCTTGGAGCGAGGCTAATGGTCTCAACACCAGTCCATGGGTTCTCCAGGCCTCGAACCTCCCGGGGGACGCAACACTGGATTTGATGCAGCGCCTTTTCATGTCCGAGCCCGGGCCGGGGGTGCGCTCCCTGACACTCCTGCCCACGGTGCCGCATTCCGCCCTGGTCTACTACAACTCCGAGGCGGAGATGCAAGCCGCCGCACGATATAATGGCGCTCGTTTGCGCCCAGAAGATGCGCAGTTGCAGAGGGGAATATTGGATGGAATAACAGTTCTTGTGGGCCGCATACTAGGATGTACATGGCGTAAATGAACAGGATGGCCTGGCAGAAACCCGGGACGAGGATCTCGCAAAATGCCAGCGGCGAGAGAGTGCCGCCAAGACAAGCCCGGAGCCGCTACCACCAGTGGCCTTCCCAACCTGTCAGTTCGTCGATACGAGACATTGTTGTCACAGAACACTATAACCTGAAGAAATGCCGACAGAAAAGAGTAGAGTAAGTAATACGATTCCGTGGGAGAAGGACCAGAAGACGCACCGCATCCACCGAAAGGTGCCGTTTCTTATTCTTCCCTTCCCCACCACCTTGCAAATAATGTTGTCGGCCTCGGGCACCAGCTGACGGCAGTAACAACGAGCAATCGTTTCTCGAGCGCCACTAGCTGAAGCATGAGCTGAGAGGCAAGCAGCGTAATGTATTCCCCCGCCGTCCGCCCGCAGGCCCTCCGGCGGTCCCGGGCCTCCGCCCGCCGCCCATGGTTGCCGCGCCAAGAACGCACACAATGAAATACACCGGCCATGAGAGTTCGGTAAGAAGACGTCATTGTTATCTTCCAGCATGAGGTGCGATGGCTTTCAGCACCCCGCGCCGCGTCCGGAGAGAATCATGCCGGCCCTTCGGCCGGCGCGGGCACGTGACTCGCAAATTCGGGACGGAGCCCGGGCAGACGACTTCAGCCGTGTATTTGAAGGGCTGCTGACGCAGACGGCGCTGAGGAAGTGGTGTAGAAATGAGGAGATGGAGGTGCTGAGCGAGCGATATCGGATTTGGGTGCTGACTCCGGCAAGTGCCAAGGAGAGAATATACATTCTCGAGTCGGTATACGAATTCGATGTCGGTCGGAGACCGGGAAACGGGGCCGGTGTGGAGCGTCCAAAGTAGATGGCTATGTCCTTGGGCTACAGAGGCTTTGGCAGTTTCCCGGCGGATGAGGAGCAGCAGCAAGTTGGCAGCAAGCTCCGCGACTGGTTCAAATACCCCTCCTCATATGAACGAGTGGGCGGGCATATGCGAGCCGCATTCGCATGGCGGCCCTACGATGGTAGTGGCGGTCACCAGCGTGGAGGAGATGGAAGGGCTGCCGATGCCGTCTGGCGGCGAGAGCTAGCAGCAGCAAAGTGAGAAGGAGTATAAGGGCGGGTAGGTACCGCGACACACCGTTATCCCGCTGTACTCTCACGTATTCCACCCCCACTGCGGGAATAAGGCCCCCCCGTTTATTACAAGCCACCATCTTGAAGACTGAGCGAGTGAGGTGTCAACGCCGTTAGTGAGAGGCAGGCGGGACTGACCAGGCTAGCCGGCAACTATGGTCTAGTCGTCCAGCGTGACGCTGCCAACGAATAGGGCGGCAAGAGGAGGGAGAGCCGCGTTCGTCAGCGGATGGTGGCTGTCGACCATGCGAGTAAGCACGACAACCGAATTGAAAAGTCAAGACCGATGACGCACTCTTATCCGAGCCCGCAGTCCCCATTCTGAGTGCTCCGCCTTCCGCACGATCCATTCTGACACTTTCTTCCCTCCCAACTCTGCGCCGCAAGCATACTCGTGCTGAGCGGGACAATCAGCAAAGCGGCGACACGAAGCGCGCCCAAAAGACGCACTTTGGGCCCGACAAGACATTCTTCGCAGCTTCAAGACGACACGTGCGCGTCCAGTGCCCAAGCGGGTAAGACGGGGGAGTCGATATCGTCGTGGTCGTGGTGGAAAAGAGAGAAGGAAGATCGGCCCGGCGAGCATGTGACCCGCCGACACCGATCTTGGCTCCGCACCACCACCAGCGCTCCTTCCTCGCGCAAGCGCAGCGGCTACTCCTGCGCTTCACCGCCTCGTCGACCATGCGGATGCACTCAACACAACGCCCGACTCCTCCAGCCTGCGATGGCCGCCCGCGAAAGGCGGCTTACCTTTGCCGTCTGTCTTCGTCTCAGAGGACGACCGTGAACGTGTTCTGGCGAGCCAGAAACGGTACTAGATGGCTAGAAGGGTGTGTAGGAACGCGCTGAGACGGCACGGAAGGTGGGGGCCGTGGGGTTGGGCACCGGTGCGTGTCTTCGTTTTCCTCTTCAAGTTTTTTCTCACTATCACCACGAATACAGAGTGTGTCGAGGGCTGGCTGGTCTCCGCTCCTACCCATCCTCAAGTCCACCAACGCGGCCATCCGCGCCGCCAGAAACCGCGTAATCGTCGTTGTGTCGGTTCTCCAGCTGGAGGAGACAGGCACAAAGTGCGTGATTTGGCTTGTCTTTCGTATCAGTGCTCACTCTCTGTCCACAGTTCGCCGACTATCACCCTTCTCCCGACCGCGCTTTGCTCGTCAAGTGGCTCGCGGCGTCTCACGCTGTTGGCCGGATGACCCTCTATAACGCAGGCTGGGTGGAGATGACGAGGAGCTAGTGGGGTAGCCACAAACAAAGGGAGACCCAAAAGTGTGTCATCCGGCTTCCTTTCGTGTTTGCGCTGACCCATATTGTAGCGCTTCCCGCCCGACATATCCCCTTCGTTCTGCCGACGCGCTCATTCCTCGTCTCTCTCAACCAATATGCACAACGAGGATCCATTCCAGGAGGAAAACGGAACGGCCTTGGGGGAAACGCGAGCTTTTAGTGAACGTAGTGCGTCCTCGTTACTCTCCTCTTCACCGTCACGTTGACGCTGCTTAGCACACTCCCAGTCAGTGTCACTCCCATCCGACACCCTTATTCGTTCTCAAACGGACCCCAGAGCCCTCGAAAACGATAACAATCTACCGCGCACACAGCTGCGCACCCCCACTACCCCCGTTCCTCCCTATCCACGGACCTCCACGTCGTTAGGATTCCTCACTATATCACGTGCGCGACCTCCATGTCGTTAGGATTCCTCAATGACCAAAGCAATGCCCAAACAAGCATGCCGCTCAGCAAGCATTGCTTCCTCCCTCGCTCTACCCCCTGCCTCCACCTCCGTCACATTGCCCGCGCTATTCACCACGCCCACGATCTCCGCCCCAAAAGCCAAGGTCACGTGCCGCTCGGCCGGCGAGGGTATTCGATGCTATCTTCAACGCCGTGCCATCTATCGCTTGGGCTAGCGCAGCCCCTGCTGGATAACGATAGTCTCTTGCGAACCCATCCAGACCGCCGCCGGATCTGAGGCGGAGGGCCGTCCTTGTCCCCTTTTCCTTCGACCTCATCAGTGCGGCGAGGGAGATGGTTTGTGGGAGGAGGCGCGGTGTTCGTGTGGGCGGTGTATTAATACGAGCATGGGCTATCTCTCGGGACAGTCTTCGAAGCCTATGCCTGCGGTACATCTCTCCTTGTCTACGAAACCAATGTGGGTGAGTCTGGGCCTTTGCGGGTCATAACTGACTTTCTTCAATTCTTTCGACAGGATTTACGATATCCCTCCTCCTAGCTCGCCTCAGGCCTTCCTCCGATTATGATAAGTTAGTCGCTCCTCAGCCTTTCGTTACGGTTACTCTGACCACACTTCAAATTGTATACAGACTTAAACGGGTGCCAGTGTTGGCCGTGATTCATCGGCGGGTTCTGGATATAGCGAGCGTGTTTTGTGTCGGAAGTATGGCCCAGTATTCGAGTCAAACTATTGATTTTCAATTAATCTACCAACTTAAAACGCAAGGATTGCCGTGTAACAGGCTCGAGAAGCTGCAAGCATATTATTCGTCACCCTCTGCCAGCAGTTTTCGGGACTCCCATATTTTCCGCGTTGGAAGACCATTCGGCATCCGAACCTCGACACCGAACGTCTTCTGCAGGTGCTGCAAGTCCTGCATGTCCTGGTCCGAAATGCCATACGGCGCGAACTCGACCCCAAGGCGCGCGAGCGTCAACTTCCCCCCTACACCATCGGAGCGCATATTCGCCGCGCGCATTGCAATTCCGTCCAGAAACGGCCGAATGTTGACTGGGGCCGGCGCAGAGGCGGGTACAACGAGGGTCAGCGACTCGAGGTTGGAGAGGATGCCCAGCTCGGCCAGGGTCGCGGCGCACCTCCGCCCCTCGTCGCTGCTCATGGAGAACGCCGTCACCGACAGACGTTCGACTGCATGCACGACATGTGAGTTGACAAGGGTAAAGAAAGCCTTGAAGCTGCCTGTTTCGACCAGCGAGAGGGAGGTGACGCGCGCAGCGGAGCGCTGGATGAAGGGGTCGATCGAGAGCCTGACGCTGTAATCATCGAGGTTCGACAGGTGGAGTGCGGTGAGGGCGGGCAAGAGAAGGTGGTCGAGGATGGGCGAGCTGCCGCCTGCTTCAGCCACCAGCGACAAGGTCGTCAGGTTGGGCATCAGGACTATGGCGAGTTTTGGTCCCGCCAGGCCTTCTCCATGGATTCTAGGGAGCGACAGCTCCTCTAACGCCGTCATCCTGCCAATGAGCTGGAGCACTGGACCAAGTTCAGCTGTACACCGGAGTACGAGCTTCCGCAACTGATGTGCAGGGAATGAAAGTGCCATGAAGCTCAAGCGAGGAATGCCGATGCATAGCTCTCTGAGAAGTGGCGCATGTATCGTCATGAAGCTTGGGAGTTCATCTGGAAACATGGAGCCCCAGACATTGAAGGACAAGCTGGTCAGACGTGGGAAGTCGATTTGTGAAACGTCTGGCTTGGTCGTCCAGGTTGACGGCCATTTCCCGCAGGACAAGGAGGCTTCCGTCCACTGAGAAGCAGAGTCGAACAGGCACTCCGGGAGCCTGAGATCGCGTGCGATGTTGTCTTCCGGAGTCGAAAACACGATGGGTAGTTTTTGTGCACGTCGCAAGAAGAGCTCGGAGAGACGATTGCGCTTGTCGCCATTGATGGAGTAGGAAATACGTCTCCACAGACGCGGGTCCGCGATGGCAGTGTGTCGCCATTGTTGACAAACGGCGGTAATTCGCACCAGCGTGCGATTAACAGCGAGGGCAGGCGAGGAGGACACCGCGGCTGCAAAGATATGGCATAGCACTTCGACGGGAAGAGTGTTTACTGGATAAGCGACGGTGGATAGGCGGTCTTGGATCACCTGGCGACGATCTTCCAGCTGTCGCAGTTGTGTTTTGAGGCGCTCGATGTCGTTCTCTACGCGTTCTGCCTCTTCTCTGAGATGAGAGATGGAAGCAGCATCGAGAGGAGAGTGGTGGCGACTCAGACGAGGACCACGGAGCAGCGCGAGAGCCTGAGCGACTTCCTGGTCGTAGTCATCCGACATAGAGAGGACTCCTAAGGAGGGTGATGCATTGAAGAAATTCGTTAATGGATAAACACATGCTAGGACATGACTTACGATCGAGAATCAAGGACCCTATTCCAGAACTGTTCGCGATGGATGCGATATAGTAGTAGCAACAGACTTGCGCTCCTAATGGTGGTGGTTATTGTCCAAGTGCCGTGATCTTCACGTCACGCCGCTGTGACGTGGCGTCGGGCCGATCTCCGCTTCTCTCCTTTCTACCACGACCAGCAACGAGGCCCACCCTGTGCGCCATAGCCCAGCCGCCGGCCGCGGTGCTGACGCGAAAGTAGATGAAGAAGGAAGCTGGCTGGCCCAGGCCCAGGCCCAGGTACCGAGGGAAGGTTCCCTCTCTTCTCGCGCTGACTGTCCCGTCCAGCATTTGGCTCTCGTGTGCTCTTCAGCAGTCGACTACGGCTCTGGTTGGATGGGTGGTGGATGGGCGCGGGGATGGGACTTCTGAGGGGGAATGAGGTCATGTTTGGGGGAAGGACGAAGGTGCGTGAATCAGGTTTTCTTCCGCTTCTCGCTGAGCTTACTCGTATGCTTGTCGGTGCAGCTGCTCGATATTCGCTCGCGGTGAGCGTGCTTCCCGACAAGGCTCGCCTCCGAATGTCTGCCAAAACCTTCACCTGTGAAGAGCCCCCAACCACGGCTGTTCCGGTGCGTCAAAAGGTGCCATCCCGTTCTGTTATGTGGTCACTAGCAGAGCCAGGCGCAATCTGTTACTCGGCATATTATCACGACCTTCTACACGCTCTCAATTGCCCACCACTCGTTAACCGCTCAGCCCTACGATATGAGCTTGTAAATTCGTTCCCACCGTGACCTGCCACTTCGACACCCACCGTCCCGCCGTCCCGCCGTCCTTAACGCCCGCATCACCACCCGAACGCCGAACCAAACTGTACGGAGCATGCAAGGCCTGCATTGGCTGGCAGCGGCAGCGTGCCAGCGAAGGAGGGTCAAGAGGTACACCCGCTTGCTCGCCGATTTGTGTGGTGGTGTGCTGACCAGCTTCGCAGTTTCCGTCAACGGTGCGGCAGCTGTCCATCTTGTCGAACTACACCAAGTCCTTCTCGGCTTGGAGCACACCCAGATGGGAGTGGGGACATACGAAGAGATAGTATGAGAGCGGGACAGCCCAGCAAGGTGTGCTATCCGTTCGATGCTCGTCGCTTGCGTTGTTGCTAATTGTGTTTACAGTCATTTGGGCTCTACGACTCGTCTCTTCTTCAAGTTCCACTCCTTTTCCACATGCCACGCTTAACCGCAGGCTCGTCAACTTCATCCTATTGCGTTCTCGTTTTGGAGATGGATCGCTCGCTGGGCCTCCTTCCGCTGGATATGGTTCTTAAACATTGCATTTCGTGGGCGGGTCTGTTGGTGGAGACTGAGCAGGAGCCAAATATCGGGCTGACGAGTGAGGGTGCGAACATTTCAGACTTCCCTTACTAACTCTGCTCGAGATCTCTCGTTTTACATCTTCGCTGTTCCTACTAATGATGAATATAATATCCTCTTTTCCGCATCCATCTTCTCCGCTGCTGCTCGTCTCCTCGGGATTCTGCCATTCCCATCTTTTCCCGTTTCCCATCCACCTCTTTGGCGCCATCTCCCCACATTGAGGGTCGTTCTGAGTCGGCACAATACATATGTGTTACATTACAGTTCTCCTCTCTCAACAGCAGCGCCACTTCAATCTCCCTCATTCACGCGAGGTCGATGACCACACCACCTCCACACATGCCCTTCGATGTTTCCCGCACGGTCGTCCGAGCGGCACCAGAAACAGTCATGTCGCTTCCCCGTGCTTCGGAGTTGCGCAGTCGCTAGCGAGCATGGTCAAGGAGGGGGCTCGATATCCGTCAAACGAGGCGGGGAACGCAGGCATATGTGCCTTCGGTTGTTGCGGGGTCGTTGACAAGAGAGAGATAACAAGCCATCTCTGCGAGAGTCGGCGGGACAATAGCATAGGTGTTCGCGTCCAGACTTGGCTCTCTAGAATGTCCTCCAACGCGAGATACCGTCCTGTTGGCAGGTCAGCCTCGCACGAACAAGCCCGCGATGATTGTGGTCAAGGCAAACGACGCGAGTTCGTTCGCCACAGCCTTCCGGTGAACAGCACCCAGTCGAAGCCAGATATAGCCTCGTTGACAAGTACCAGGTGGCCTTTCGCTAGCGAGACAATAAGCGGCGCAATGCGAGGCGAGAGGAAGTCGAAGCGGGAGAACGCCTGGAGCGTGCAGCAAGATGGACAGGGTATGAGGCAATCACTGCCGTCGAATTAGAATGTTCTTGCTTTTGTGGGCCGAACGAGAAGCTGTGAAGACAAGTTCAGCGCCTTGCATTGCGTCTTCGCAAAAGAGTACATACTTTCCGAGGTAGTTGTTCTGAATGACTGTTCCACAAAGAACAGCCCAATGTCGGCTTCTCCGTTGTCCATCGTCCTCATTTCAGTTGTCGAAAGGATCAGAGGATATGTCGTCATGGAAAACGTATGAGGTTTGGATAAGTCGGGGCGGAGCGCTGGCGGACAAAAGAGCCAGATATGTCCGTCAACACTGGCATGCGGCAGACGTAGACGCGCGAGATTGACGCCGCAATGGCAGCAGGGCGCGAATTCGTCTGCTCGACAACGTCAGCGAGATAGATACGCGCAAGATAAGCACACTTGCATCTTCACCACGGTGTGGTAAGAATTTAGCGTTTATTCTGATGCCGGTTCGTCTTGATTAGGCCGACGAGACAACAGTGTCGGCGTAGTTGAATGTTCGCTCAGGCTGTCCCGCCGACGTGCTATCAGCCTGTCAAGGCAATCTTGCGATTGGGGCTGGCCGAACGGGAACGCGAAGATAAGCCCAAAGAATGCTTCGTCGTTCGAGCACCCCCGACGTCTATGTCCATTCTCTCCCTCCGCCGATCTTGGCCATTGCGGACGCTGCCATAGCACTAGTGACAAGTGAAGATGTCGGGAGTCGCTGCTGGGGGTTCGACAATCTCGCGCTGGCGCGGGAGCAAGCGACAGGCGGCTTTATTGAGGCGGCGTGGTCGTTAAGAGAGAATGCCGTTTTGCCCGATCCGGCGCCGGGGGACACGTGACACCGGCGATAGAGCCCGACCGACCGCAGAACCAGGATATAGAGGTCGTAGCTGTCCGCCAAGGTCAGCGCATGGGCCCAGACCGTGCTGAAGCATGATACGGACGATGAACAGCCATAGTCAGGCGGTGAATGCTTGATTTCGAGCTCACAGAGGAGGGAAACGGCGCTGGCCGGCGCAGGCGACAGCAATGTCAGTGTCGATTAAGTGGAAAGCGCAATAGAAGTCGAGCTGGATGGATGGGCTTTCTTCCCAAAGCCCTCTCCCATCAGTCACGCAGCACAGCGTGCAGAAATCCCTCTTTCCTGGCTGCAGCAGCGGGGGGACTTATTGCGAGCGTGTTGCTGGCCCGCACGCCTACAGGCCACAGCAACTCGCCGAAAAGACTGGCCAAGATGGAAGAGGAGCGGGGCGGTGCGCCGCTTGTCGCCTTCTTTCCTCTCCAAGTCGCGTGTGAGTTGCGGAGCGCGGACTTGTTAACAGTGTTAGCTGTGTAAGTTAGTGTTCGAAAACACTCACAAAATGTCTCCAGAGAACTCTGTCCTTCGGCCCTCGCGCTCGACACGGGCCACAAGTTGCCCATGACAATGTCTTCCCCTCCACCACTCGTCCCAGGGGCCAGAACACTCGTTATCTTTCCGCAGCCGTTCCAGACGTGGGCTGTGTTTGAGCGGTGCTGAGAATGTGTTGATGAGTGTTCTCAGTTCTGTAGGTTCTGAAGCGGTGAAGCCAAGGCGCACTGTGTTTTTGGCAGCAAAAAAAACTTTTTCGCTCAGGCCTACGGGAAGGAACCGGGCTCCGAGTAATGACCGAGATAGCCGGAGACTGGTATGGGAGTGAGACGAGTGAGATTGCGTTATAGCTTGAAGCCTATGCGCCGCGCAAGTGTGGGACGGTTCGACAGCCTGAGCATAACGAGGAATGGTGCTTAGCGAGGCATAATAAGTAATGAATAAGCACAGAAGGAGACGATAACACACTATCTTCCTCGCAAACGGTTGCCCATTAGCCCTTCCCCATGACAGAGCCCCAGTAGGACATCGAGAACCAGGCCAACGCTGCGCGGGACGGTTAGCGACAGCGCACGGGAGAAACACGAAGGTGTTCACCAGCTGCACCTTCAATAGGCGCCGTACAGGCTACCTGGAAAGCCACAACCGCGCCGGGCAAGCGAGAGTGCACAAGGAGACTGCATGCTCGTCATCGTAGTGCAGAAGAGAGAAGCGGCGATCGGCCCGAGGCCATGTGACCTCGCCGATCTTTCCTCCGCACCACGATGAGCCGCAAACGGCGCGCGCTCCTCCCTTGCGCGGCCGCCCTGGAATCGACATGGCGACCCTTAAGACGACCGCTTGGTGCCTCAACCCGCTGAGAGGGATGTGCAGACCACGCCACGTGCGTCTTTTCTCTCACTCTTCACCCCCGCTCAAGCGCGACTCATTCCTCAGGACTACCTTGGACATTCGTGCTGGCGGACCGGAAGGGGCTTAGGATGGGCCGAAGGGAGTGGAAGAGTGCGTTGAGCTGGCGCGGAAGGCGGAATGGTTGACCAACAGTGCGTCAATGGCTATCTTACATTTTCGCATTCACTGACCACTATTGCGTGTGCAGACTCTGTCGAGAGCTGTTATATAGGATATTACAGACCAAAGAATGCCGCTGCTTGCACCTTCCTTACACCGGCTGACCCCCAACCCGCATGTGCCAGTGCTTGCTTCCAAGCTTTCTTGTGTCGACTTCTCCGAGGACGGCGGTAGTATCAGCTTACTCTGCTTACATACCCTCTCCACATGCACAACACAATCCCCTTTACCCCACAAACTACCGCCACATACTCCTCCATATTCGACAAGTTCACCAGTGCCGCCCCGGCCGCGCATTCACCAATTCTCCGGACTCGAAAACGCCGCTTTTGGCTTGAGGTTCGGGCGCTAACTAGTATTCAGGCAGTCGTACTTTCGCGGGCGGATATTCCTGCTGAAATTAAAGTTAGAAGGAGCACAGTATGGAGGGTGAACGAATGACGGCGCGATGGGATGGGTAGGTGGCCGGTCGTCTGGAGGCCCGCTTGTATGGGTTATGTGCCCACCCATCTGAAGGAAATGGAACAGGTCGAGCGATTGACTCAAAGTGCGTTAACCTTGTTCTCGTTCTTGTCTAATATTCTGAACGCGTACAGTGTTTCCGGCATTTCGAGCACCATTGCTGTCGACGAACCTATATGAGAGGGTGCAGATCAGAGAATGTGCCGAGGCTGCTGCATAGAATACTGTCATTGTGTTCGCATGCGGCGTCTGTTGTGCTGCCTGGAATGAAGCGTCGGACCAAAACGAAGGAACGATGATCTCTTGGTGATGGAGAGGCGCGTGACGATACGGTGACCGGGTATCTTCCCGACTCCTACGATGCACCCCCTAGCTGTCGCTCACACGCAAGAGCTCAGAAATCTCTCGGCCTCACACCGAGTGAGACTTCAGACCAACTCACTGACTACCGCTGATTGTTCTTAGGCCATTACACTTGCCGCTTGCGAACCCGGTTGCTCCGATTTCGACTATCGCCGGTTCGAAGGCATTTGGTCCAGGGCAGACAGTAAACTGCGTGACCTTCTGTTCCCCGTTTTCTTCGCCATACTGGATCCAACTCGAATCCCGTCAGCCGCCGAAATAGAGACTCTATCTCCCGTGGCAAAGTCCCAGATTCGGCATGTGCTCTGGACTTTTAGGCTCCTCTTCCTGCGCACCAGGGAGCTCCCCAGCGGGGTCTTTGACCTGTCCATTTTCGTGGTCGGCTGGGTGGACTTCCTGTACACCTTTCATGACTTCCTGTGGCTAACGGAAGGGCTTGTTGGTGTCAGTACAACGCTTCTACCGACCAAGACAGCGCTGTTAGTGTCGCTGGCACATTTCACCGGCCATTTGGAGGTCGCCAAATACAACTTCGACACAGAGCTTACACCGAAGGATGACAAAGGGCCATCCGAAAAGATGCAGGACATGCCTGGCTATTTCCGTCTCCTCGTACTAATATGGGAGTTCGTCGTAGGTCAACCTGGGCCGGAGCTGGATTCGAGCCTGTTAAATGACTTCATATTGATGCTCCCGCTGCAACTTGACCGCCCTCAGCTCAACGAGATCTTGGATGTGTGCGGGAATGGAATCCAAGGATTTATTGGGCTGATCCAAAGGCACCTCGCGGGGCAAAAATATTTCGCCGCCCTTGGGGTGGGCGGCTCGGAAGCGGCTGGTAGGCGGCTCTGCGGAAAATGAGTAGACAATATCTTTGTCATTACTTGACATGATAACGACATGCCTGCGCCGTTCGATAGCCCCCGACGAGCCCTTTCGAACGCGCTATCAAGCGGCTCGAATGGTGGCTTCGTCGTCGAGCAATGGTCTTAGACTTTTTGGGTGGGCGGCTCGGACGCGGCGGTAGGCGGCTTTTTGCCTGGTTTTCGCCGCCCTCTTTTTGCGGTGGGCGGCTCGTGGCAGTGCTGCGGCGGCTGTGGGCGGCTCTTGCACAATTGAGCGCGGCTCTTGTGTGACAGAGGGCGGCTCCCACCCAAACCAGGTGGGCGGCGATGAACACGGCCGCCCACCCCAGTAAGCGGCAGCTGCGGCCCCACTCTCTTCCATTGACCTCACTCCTCGTCACCACAAGGCCGTCGCCTTCGTCGCTGGCCACTTCTCCGGGTCGTGAACGCATGTTGCGTTGCCCGCGCCGTCGTCGTCGTCGCCATCAACGTTCGCCGGCGGCGTCGACAATGACACCGCGGGCCTCGTCCGCGTCTGACAGATGACTCGGATGAGTCATCACTGCATATGCATCTTACCTCCGCTCCACTCCACCACCATCCCGACATGCCCCCGGCCACGGCCCCCCCTGTGACTTCAAGAACCCAACATCGGTGCCCTCACACAAACCCAAAGCACATGGCCGCCCGCCGCTGCCTCACTGCGCAGCTTCAAGTTGGTACGCGGCTTGACGAGCGGCTCGGCTGCTCCCCGTGTAACTCGCCGGTCGAGGACGGACCCGCATTCTCAAGTTCAACCATCCCGGGCCACGAGCATCGCCGCGGCGCCGCTCACTCGCTCACGCAGCGTCGACTCCACCCTGTGCAGCCTGTTCACTGGCCATGAGGAGCCCATTGTCTTCTCAGGGTGAGTGGCGGTGCGCGGCGACTGGACATATGCTCCGGTGCGCGGCCCAGTGAGCGGCTCGGCAACTATACTTACTAAGTTGCACAGCAGTACTAGCGCCACGGGCACTGCGCCTGCACCGTCTTCCCAACAACGCCGCGCTCCTCTGGCAGCCTAGTACCCTCCATCATCGTTGACCCGGTCTCGGTGGCCCACCATCTTCCGCGGCGACTGTCGGATGACGACGACGCCGGCCCGGGTGCTCAAGTTGCACAACCTGCAGCTTGCCCGGCCTCCAGCACTACGAGTATGGCTTCCGCGCCGCGCCTTCAGCGCTACTCGGCTCTCTGCAGTGGTGAGCGTCTTATTCGCGGCTCGCGAAGCGGCTTTTTGGAGTGAGCGGCCGTGCACAGGCGGCGACAGTTTCTCGATGTCCCTCAGCCGCGACGACTAAGCTAACACGGAACCGCCCGCCGCCGCCGTAGCTTGGTGAGCGGCGCCTACTCGGTTGGGGACTCGGAGCGGCATAGCTATTCACACAGAATGCCTGGGTGTCGAGTATCGCCGCACATGCCAGGCTGATGTCTTCACAGGACTTGAGCAGCATATCCAACGACAACCCTGGTGCCCTCAAGTCGTGGAGCCCGCTGCCGGCCCGCCCGCAGTACTATGGCCGCCGCGCCGCGCTACCTTCATATCCAATTCCGCAGCAACTCGTCCTCACTTTTGGTAGGGCATCGTGGTTTCCAGAGCACCAGTGACCACCGCGCTCTTCACTGCGCTCGTCCCCACTGCTGGTTGGGCTACGGGCTGCTCAGGCTGCTCCTTCCACGGCGCTCCAACCAATGACCATCGTCTTTGGCCCACGACTCCTAGTTAGGCCAGCCGCGACGAAGGTGCCTGTGAACGTGAAGCTGGGACGGGATGGAACTGTGTATATGGATGATCAGTGGCTTGGTACGGGGGCGCGGTGAGCGGCGTGATGTCGTGTGCGGCGGTGTGCGTTGAGCAACGGTTGCTGTGCTCGCCGAATGCCCGGTTCACGGTAATGACACAGCATGTACCGGGGTCTGGCGGTCACGTCGATGACCTGAAATAGCAACTGTGAAACAAAGCCTACAGATTTTAAGAGAAAGGTCTTCGCTGTTGTGTAGGATCTATAAAACGCTATCTATCCTTCTAAAATTTTCAGATTAATAAAAAAAAAATTGGCCGCTCGCCCTTGCGCGGCTCGGTACAGCGGCGCCGCAGGAAGCCAGGGGCCACGAAAACGTGCAGTATTACACTGTAGCGTCATTGGGTACCCTACCCGCTCACAGGCATCCATGTTTAGCGCAGTTTGGATGTCCCGTAGTGATGGAGAGAGGTGGTGAAGACTTTGTGTTGGAGGGCAGCTAACACATTAATTTGTTGAATTCTCCAGCCTTACTGAGCATATTGCTTCAGGAAGAGGCATATATAACAATATTGTACATCAGTCATATCAATTCCTGGGCTACATACCAAGAGTAAACAATCCCTAAAAATATTATCATTACTTAGAATGGAAATAGCAGCGCAATGGCTACAAATTATGTGTTGGGGTCTTCACTACAGTGTACAGAACACTAAAGACTATGTAATGTAACAAAAATCCCCAAACCTTAAAATTGAGTACTTCGCCGCCCACCCCTGGGCGGCGCTCTGAGCGGCGCGTTGACATGGCCGCCGCGGCCCTGAAGCCAATGGCGACGACGCCAGCCGTCAGCGTGAGTGTTTGTCACGCAGATATATCATCGAGCGCCCAACCATGGCACCCACCGCCAACTTTCGGAGTCTTTGTGAAGTTGCTCGACGACGGTGGGCGGCGAAGTGCATGATTACGTCA